TGGTGTATTTCCAAATAATAACTCAACAACTTGTGCATCTTTATTTCTTATTTCTTGTTATTTCTCCAGTGTGTCTTACAGCACACAGCTGATAGCAGCACTTTTCATAGGGCATCTGCTCATCTCCAACAAAACCAGGAATATGAACCAAGCCTCCCAGTCACCAGTGGTTGACTTTCTGATGGTTGGCAATAAAGAGGCATTCATGCTAACCAGAGTGATGACATACAAACCCACCCTTATGGAAGGAAGGGAAATAGGAGAAAAATCCTTTTTCTCAATTTATTTTGAATTTAGGTATTATAAATGTTAGTATTTTATTTTCTTTAAACGCCATGAAAAGCTGCGGGGGACAGAGCAGCATGGCCTGAGAAACGCCCCCAAGATGCTTGAAAGCATCAAAGGCATCACAGTCATTTCCCAGACTAAATAAACAACCTATCACCATTTTCTATGACAAATCAATGCTTTTTTAAAATCAATCCACTCCCACAGTGAGGAACAGATTGTTTTAGTGTTCATGATTTAGTCTGGACCCTCAGATTTCTCCACCTGCTACAGAGGACCAGTAAATCCTATAGATCTCCCTAAATATTTACTGAGCTTTCAATGCAGAACAACCATTTCATAAGGATGAGTTATCTTTATGGAATTAAGTTTCTCTATCTGAGCAGGCTGAGTTTTGCTGGCTGGAACATCAACTCACCAGGGACCCCACCAGAAAACAGACTCTGCTCAATACCTGACCTCAAGCCAATTGATCACCAAATATTTTTTTCAGTCTCAATCCCAGTTATTCATAATTTTTTAAACAAAAGGATGTCCTCAAAATTGAGGTTTGACAGGTAAAGAATAGGTAGAAAATGGGGTAGAAAAGAACTTAAAGAGCAATGCCTGTGGGATGGAAAGCTACAGGATGAATCATAGAATCACAAAATGGTTTTGGTTGGAAAGGACCTTAAGATCATCCAGTTCCAACCCCCCACCACAGGGAAGGACACCTTCCACAAGACCATATCGCCCTAGGCTCTGTCCGACCCGGTCTTAAACACTGCTGGGGATGGAACATTCACCACTTCTCTGGGCAACCTGTGCCAGCGCCTCAGCACCCTCACAGGGAAGAACTTCTCCCTTATATCTAACCTGAACTTCCCCTGCTTCAGTTTGAACCCATCACCCCTTGTCCTGTCGCTACAGTTCCTGATAAGAGTCCCTCTCCAGCATCCTTCTAGACCCCCTTCAGACACTGGAAACTGCTCTGAGGTCTCTATAGAGCTTCTCTTCTCCAGGCTGAACAGCCCCAATGTTCTCAGCCTGTCTTTGTATGGGAGGTGCTCCAGCCCCCTCATAACTTAATGAATTCTCAACTTCTGCAAAGCATCAGCTGAAACAGAGAAAGGTGGGTGAGGGTAACAAAAAAGTGGAGCACTGAATAAGCCTGAGCAGGGATGGGGGAAGATCAGTGAGGTCAAAGATAACAAAGTTTGGAGAATGGGATACATTGAGAAATAAAACCTTGTATTCCTGGCCTTTAAACTGCCAAAGATCTGGAATCATGAGGGAACTCATATCATGGGTGTGATGTTACTGGCAATCCCCAAACTACATCTTCACAGAAGCACCTGGGTGTTGTTTGAAGGGCATCTGAAGGTCAGGACAGCTCTGGGCTTATCTGCTCTGCAGAGGAGGCCACTTGAGGACAGGGGGATGGATCAGCCACCAGGGAACAGAAAGCCGCTGCTGCAGTGTGATGCTCTGATAGCACCTAAGAGTCCAAGAGCTATGGGGTCATCTTGCTTGAAGTCGTCAGCCCAAGGAGGGATGAAACAATGCTCTCTGCAAAAGCTAAACATGCCTGCACTCTGTGTGGAGCCTGGTGAAGGACACTCCATCCTCCTGCCACCCAGGAGCAAGCACCACATCAGGCAGCACCTACAGCCATCAGCTACAGCCCCTCATCCAACCTCCACCCCACAAACCTGTGAGATACACGGGGAGGAGAAAACCACCGTTACTGCGTGGTGGGGCAGGCCGCAAGTTATGTTTCCTGCAGTAGCAATCTTTCTAGATTAGATCATTATTGGTCCCAAACCAAGACTTGCCTATACAGATAGGCCAGGATTTATAAGCCTGGGCTTTACAGCCTGGTGAGGGTTTGTCTTTCTTGTACTATTCCATCATCTGTTATGGTGAACCACCACTAAATCTTCCTTAGCAACCCAGGATAGTTGGTTTAAAAAGAAAGTGGTAAAGAAACGTCGATAATTGTCTTTATCCAAGGCAGAACTCTCACATTTACCATTTTTTGCCTTTTCCTCCTATTTTACCACAAACAGCAGGCAGAGAGACATTATCCTTATTCTCATGGTTGGCTCAAAGAGAGGAGGTTGCTATTGCAAAGACCTTTGCACGCTCTTGGTGCACAGTATGACAGCAGCTATATTTATAGGAGGCACCAGGCTGAAGCCAGACTCCTGAGGATGCCTTGGGCAGCTGTTTGCAACTGCTGGGAATAGCGTTGTCTTTAGACAGAAGGCTTAAAAAGATTCACCAGGCACATTGTATTAGATTTCACCAAGAAGAAAAGGAAAAGAAAGGTTAAAATAATCCCACACCTCTGTGACATGACTCCGTGGTAGGTATTCTGGTTTCCATAACATCAGCATGCCACAGCAACACTTACATCATGGCTACACACCAACAGAGCCACGAGAACACTTTGTGTTCTTGCACAGAAATTCCATTACGGTTTTTAGCAAATACCTAAATTTCTCATTTCTTTTAGCAGAAATGTCCAAATACCTCAGAATCTGTCTTCAGCCTCCTGCAAGCTTTGGAGATACAACAAGCCTATATCTGGATGCAGAAGAGGATCCCTCCACTTCACATCCCCATCACCAACTTGTTTTTCAGACATCAAGACACCAAATAGTCCCTTATAAAGCCACAAATATCTCAGATAAATTCACAATTCAATGTAATAAAACTATTTTGCCATCTTGAGACACAATATCAACCAGTTAGTTTTCATCTGCAGACTGACAACTATGATTAAAAAGCAGATTAATCTTTGGGCCAGCTAGGAAGGAAGGATATTCCAAAGACCCAAGATCTGAATACGCATCATCAATTTTCTTTCCATCAAATCCACTCCTCCACATGCAGCACGTAACTCCAAGAAGAGGAAAAGTAAATGATTAAACCATAGAAATAATTCACCCAAGAATTTGTGCTCATGCAGCTGTACAGCTTATTTATAGTTACAGAAAGCGAACTATGTAGAGACAACAGTATTTTCCCGCAGCAGAGCTTGCAGTGCTCCAGCTCTAGACAGATGATGTCCTCCAGCACTAAGAATTGGAACGAGCCCTTTGCAATCGGATGCCTCCACAACTGCTCCTCTCATCCATACAGCAAATCCTGACTTTAATGACTTCGTGTGCTTGACAGATTTATAGGAGAAAACTAATCAGGTCACTGGTTAGAAGCCAGTCCGAGAAGAATTACTGATTGCTGGAATCAGGAGCTCTGCATATACCCCAGGCTTGGGGAGGAGCACTGACCTGCTAAGAAATCCCAGTCCAAGCAAAGGAATTCCCTTATGGATGACAGCATCTTGGCTTGCTCCTGCGAAGCCAGATGAAACCCAAGTGGCCTGAAATCCCGCCTCACTGAAGTATCATCCAGCTTTCAGTAAGGTTCCTCCCTTTCCAGGTCTCTTCTAGAAAGAGT